ACACCCTGCTTGCTTGCCATTGGTTTAAGCACTGTGCACTCAAAGCCCCTGAAAAATCATTCAAAAAATCCTCCTTGGCCTCAGCTGTAAACCTCGGCGCCTGCGCGATTGGAACGCCAATAATTTGGGATAAATACTTTTAAAGGCTGCTGTGGAAAACCGGTCGCTGGCTAAAAATACACAAAACAAATGTAAATTCCACTGCAGTGACGAACATCAGTGGAAACATTAACTTAAAGAATTGTGTCAAAAAAATGAGAGGCATTTTAATTGATGGGACAGAGCTCGGCAGCACAGAACTCAGATTTGAGATGGGCATTGCCTTGTGCCCCACTGATGGCCACAGATGGCCCCAAGTCCAGGCCCACAGATATGGGATTTTGCACCTCCCCATGGTGATCACACTGTTGGCAACTGGAACTTCAAGTGTAATATAGTTCTTCTCTCCTTTTTTTTTTTTTTTTTTTTTTTTTTAAAATTTTTTCCCCTTTTTTTGGCACTCCCCACTCAAGAGCAAATGTCAAAAAATGGTGTCATTTGCTCCTTCCATTTAATGCCAACTTGGAAAAACACTGCGTGAGCATCTCAGCGTCTCAACCTGGGTCCGAGTTTGGCACTTTGCAGGACGTGGCCTGAAGGGTCAGAGCTGGGCACGTCCCCATCACAATCCCCAAAAACATCAGCAGTAAAACGTATTTATTTCCATATGAAATTTGGGGAGTTGATTTAAGAGCACTCCCTGTTTCTCCAAGGTATCAAATATCATATGATGCAGTGGTTGCCACGGCAACTGCCTTTTTTATATTGAATAGTAAACGTCTACGAAAAAGCCACATAATTTTATGGCTGCTCCCATGGGATCACATCATAACTAATAGAAAATCTCTCATTTTTGTACATTTTTCTGCTTCTTTCTTCCTTCCCTCTATTCTTTTTAGACTGAAGCGCCCAGCCCCACGCCTGTGGGTCGCATCCCTACCCATGACAACACGAACAGCCCCAACCAAATGCTATGTGCAGCCTCCACAGCTCCATCACCACCTGCCCCAACCCTCCATGTTCCCATCTGGCCCCAGGATGCTGCTGTAGGAGCAGAACCCAGGGCTGTGCTGGAGGAGCCGCCCCACGCCGAGCACCTCCTGGCAGTCTGCACAACAGGGAATGGAGGGGAATGCTGGAAAATCCTGGGAAAAATTCAACGTGAGCTCAGACAAATTGTTCCCCACACAAGGGCCAACGCTGCAATATTTTTTGCTTTCTTTCTTTCTTGGTCCTTTGTTGCCTAACGGTCAACTGAGATGGGCAGTGGTGTTTCCTGAGTTCTTGACGCAGAGATGCTGGGGAGGGGAACAAATACTGTGCCCCATGACCATGGAGATGTGCACCATGACCTCAGCACAGCACTGCTCCTTGGTGCAGGAACAGAACAAAGCCACCAGCACAAAGCTCTCTGCTGGATGTCACTGTTCAACCGTAACTCAACTGGAAGATGTCACCTAAAATCGATGGGTTATAAGGAAGGCAATACCATCTCTTGCGTATCCTAACTGAGCTCTTCTTCATGCCAGTCCCCAGAAAACTGACTTCAAACTTACACAAAAGGGTTGCATTTTGAATGTTTTAAATGAATAGAGAAAGGAGGCACTGGTTGCCACCCACGTCACCACAACTGTGCCACTGGGTGGTGGCCCAAGGCACACACCTGGCCTGCTCACAAAGCATGGAGCAAGAAAGTGACAAATCCTAAGTTGAATTTGGGGTTCTGTGAGATTAAGAGGACATGAACCTAGATGGCCTGGGTGTTCCTGGCAAGCAAAGGGAAAGATGATGAAATTGAAAGAAAAAAAAATGAGAAGGAAACACCGAGTGATAATCAAATAAAACCAAGGATACAAAAAAAAAAAAAAAAAAAAGAGAGAGAGAGAGAGAGGGAGGGAAGTAACAAAAACTCATCAAAATTGAAGAGTAAAGCCAGAAAACAGATGTTTGGGGCCAAGAAAAATCAAGAATATCACTCGAAATGTCAGCAGAAGTGATAGATCACCCCTAGCACTCCACAGTCTTAAGCCTTGGGAGATTACATCTCCAAAACCAAACCAGCACTGTGATGGGCAGCAGGAACAGAGCCCTGCAGTGACTCACAGGTCCCAGGGAGCAGGGCAGGTGCAGCAGCAATGTGCTGGGGGGGGGGTGAAACTCAACCTCAGCTGCCACCTGTGCCGATCTCCACTTCTAATCTCTGTTTCCTTGTCTGTTTTTCCATAGGAATATTTTTATATATTCTGTAAAGAGTGTAATTTCCAACCAATATAAGCCTGCCAGAAATAGCCATGCAATGCAGTCACCCTAACCCAGCTGGCCCAGGGGACGGGCAAAGGCCAGGGCAGGGGCTGCATCTCAGAGAGGCTCCCACCAACACCAAAGACCAAACCTCAATGCTCTGCATTCACACCGATGCTGCACCGCTCAGCACTGTGTGCAAAACCAGAAGTGGTGACTTCTCTGTCAGAGAGCTGCCACTGTAAGCAGCTCCAGCAGCACCTCATAGCAAGAGGTGAAGGGAAACCCAACCAGGAAGACAACAGCAAAGGAATTCAGGTCCCTGCAACAAGCACCCCCGGCCATAAGGGCCATCTCACAGGCACCCTCCACTTTGTTGTTTACATACTTGAAACCTCTGGAGAAAGTGGAATTCCATTCATCAGCGTTTATCACTGTGGAAGTATTTGTTGCGACTCGCTCAGTTTTTCCCTGAGCTAACCCCTGACAGACACCAGAATCCTGCATCCCTTCCAGCAAGCAGTTGTTTCTGTGATGTAAGGATGGCTCAAACAGCTGAGGGCTCCAATAGCACGTGGCAGGGCACAGCCTGCTTCCCCAGGGAGGAGGGATGCTCATGCTGTGCCCAGGAGCACTGTGAGCAGGAGATGCCACCATATCTCCACGTCCCCGTGCCCACCAGAAAGTCACACCGACGGTCACCCAAGGCTCTATGCATGCACACATTGCTCTGCAAATCATGAGCATCAGGATTTTGCTCAGATCATTGGTGTCTCAGAGCTCTCTTTAGCATCAGACCGACCTGCAAAGCCAAGCATCCCACAGACTGCTGATTTCTTAAATCCATTCTCAACTCTGTTCCTCAGCCTGATGTGAAAGGAACACTTCACGGTTGGAAAATCCCCCACCCCACAGACACTGCATGAGGACACACATTCCCTCTGCTCCTGCAGCTCACCCGTGGGAGTTTGCAGGCAGATCACAGCGCTCTGCGCTTCATTTCTTCTCGAAAATACAATTTCTATTCTATTCCTTCCTGACAAACTGCACAGATCTGTGTCGTTATGCACAGCACCCACGCAGGGCACGGCTCATAGAACAAGGGCTGCTGCCCATGCCCTGCAGTGCTGCCCCAGCCCAGCCCGGAGCTGCGGGTTTTGAGGTTTGGAGGAAACCAGTGACAAAAGGAAACAGGCAGCCAGCAGAGCTGGAGCGCGAGAAGCAAACAAACCGTGCGGCTTTCCACACTTGTTTGCTTTAGGCAGCTTCGAGAGAAGGGCTGCGACGGCTGGGATGGATTCCTAGAAAGGAGAAGCTGTGATTTAGCATAATGCAGGGCCCTGTGCAGGAGTGGGATGGGGGCAGCAGCACCACAGATTGCTGCGTTTCCAGCCCTGAAACCTTCACGCTGAACAGGTGCTGAGCCCAGGTTGTTCAAAAGCAAATCACTCATTGAGCAGCCTCGAGAGGAGCTGTCAGAGAAGTGTCTGAACCCCATGCAAAGTGAGCTCCATCCATGTCGTGGTGAGGCTCTGTGGGAAGACAGTGCTGCCAGAAGGAGGAGAAAAGGCTCTTTCCCACTCAAACGCAGTGTTAAAATTGCAGTTAAGTAATGACACAGTTGGGAGAAGCAACCATTTCGCGTTGCAAAAGTAACACCACACATCCTGTTTGTTCCACAGGCACACCAAACATCCTGTTTTATGGCTTGCATTTTACAACATAAACAACAATATATATTAAGCTGCACTGCTAAGCAAGGGGAAAAATGCAACGGGAGCACAGGAGGGAAACTGCACAGCGAGCAGTGCAGGGTGGCTGCACAAAATTCTCAGCTCTGCTTCCTCCTGCACAACTCCATAGGGCTGTTCCCATTTCATGCCATGGTGCTTTCACCCTTAAAGATGAGTGGAAGATGGGGGTGGCTGTGATCGATAACATCAGCATGGAGCCTTTGGGGTCAGCAGACAGGGCAGGGCTGGCACAGCCACTCTGCAGCAGCACCAGGACACATGTAGATGGCTTTGGGAGTGGGAAATTCACAGAAAATTGCGTGCACTGAAAAAATCCTGGGCCCTGTTTCCCTTTCTCCAGCCACTGAGGTTGGTTTGTTTCTATGTGACTTTCAGCTAGGACAGTGGAAAACATCGGGTATGTTGTTTAACACACTGAGGTCAATAAATGTTCATTTCCCACTTCTGCATTCACCATAAACATGAATATATTCCAAATGAAATACCATCTTTTACAGGGCCACCGAAGCCAACCTGGAGAAAAACACCTTCATGCAACTTGTTTCTGCAAGCTGCAGGAACAATGGCTGGGCTGAAAACCCCACAGCATCCCTGCAACCATACAACAGCCTGTTCAGCACCCCTGCATCCCACCCAGCACTACATCCAGCGTCCATCCCTGCATCCCACCCAGCACGCTCATTATGGGCCCAACCCAAAGGATTGCTCTTACATGCCCGAAGGGATCCAGGTGGTTGTTGGTGAGCTTCAGCTTCTGGAAGGACACGAGCTGCCTCATCCAGTGCGCTCCAGTGGCAGGTGAGTCAGGATGCACATACAGCCGGCCCGGCATGGCCGGCTCTGCCTTCCCAGCCACCATCCTGCAAGCACAGTGATCACATTGCAGCTCTGTCTGTCCCATAGAAAGCACTGCCATTGACCTCCCCTTGCAAACCACAGTGCAGTGCAGCCATGTCCTGGGTCTCCAAGAGGCTCCTGCTGCCCATGGGATCTCTTTGTCCCAATGTCACAGCTGGCTGAACCACCGTCTCCTTGGGTCACTGTGTTGACATTAGCCAAGGAGGACACCTTGCTTGGGTCTTTGGAGAAGGCTGGCCACGGATGAAGCCTTCCAAGACCATCCAGCAGAAAACACTTCTCAGTGTCAGTTCCTATGGGATGGGGCTGGGCGCTGCCCCTCTGCCCCCACATCCCCCCTTTCCCACATATCCAACCCTCCACCAGCATTCATGGATGTGAAACCTCACTGCGATGCATGGCTTCGTGGCAGCTCCCCCATTACTGTGTATTGTTCTCTTCTCATAAAACACCAATAAAGGCATTATGACCAAAAACAACAGAGACTTTCCAGCAGCAATAAAATGAAAAGGGGAAATAGCTCTAGGGCTGGCAAAAGCTAAATTAAACAAAGTTAACAACTATCCATCATCCAGGGCTTAATGGTTAAAGCACAAAGTGGGCTTCGTGCTCCATCTACTCCTCTTACCCAAAGGCACTGCAGGACAAAAGGGAGTAGAAAAGAAACTTTTGAAATCTAGAGCAGCCCTAATGTGCAAGTGAATTACTGCAGTTTTATAGGATGTTGCTGTTCCCATTGAAATGAGTATGAAGTTTTCCATGGCTTGTCCTGACTTTCTGCTTACTGCTGCATGGTGAAAAGATGAGCACGGCCCATTCTCAGTGAGGGAGGCTGCTGGGCATTGTTCTGGGGAGAAACAAAAGGGGAAAAAAACACGCTCCCTTTGTCAGAAAGCAAAACTCCATCTGCCTCTGGGGTAAGCAACTTTACTATCAAAGACACAGCAAAGGGAGGGAATTACAGAAGAGGGAGAAACTCTGGTGGAAGAATACTGAATGAGAAGGAAAGAGGCAGTGGGTGGGAGAGCTGTTCCCCCACGTTACATAGCTCACCCCCAAGTGCAAAATATTGCTGCTGGAGAAAAAGTGTACAACTTCCCTCATTTCCCATGGATTCATGATTTTAAGGCCAAAATGCACCATTGGGTCACCGCTTCCAGCCCCTGGCACGCACAGGCTGCAGGCTCACCCTCACATGCCTGCACGAGGCCAAGCAACCTGTGGCATCTCCTCTGATATGACCTCCTGTCCTTTGGAGATGAATGATCCACATCTACCAGCAGGCAATCCCTTGGCTTGTCCAGAATACTCAAATTTTTCTAGCTTTAACTTTCAGCCACTGGTGATCACTGGGTCTATGGCTGCTCTGTGCCAGAGCTCTAGGACACCAGCATCACCCATGGGCAGTGGAACCATCCATCCACCTACAATTCATAATAAAAGGAAAGCAAACAGGAGAACGTCCTCTTACCATTTATTGTCGCAGAATTTGTACCGGTGGTCATCGGCCGGGACGATGTCAATCAACAGAATGTACTTGGTCTTGGGATTCATTCCAGTCACCTTGACCTTGTAGCTGGGAAACATCCTCCTTAGGAAAAGCAAAGGGTTAGCACATGAAGGAGCAGCCTAAAGTAGGTGGAAACACAGAACAGTGCCCCAGAGGGCAGCTCCAGCACCAGCAGATGGTGAATCCAAGCTGGGACAAAGGAGGTGTAAAGCAAACTGCTGCCTACACATTGCCACAGTGAGCATTGCCCTTCTCCAAGTGTGAGCTGTGAATGGGAACAGAGAGCTTCACTACAATCACTTGTTATTAAAGATAGGGGAGTATATCTCACTTATCTAAGAAACCTCTACCAAAATATACTATTTAATACTGCATCTTATCAGTATACATGATCAATATGTACGTGACCCAATATTTCTGGCCGTTCAGAAATCACCAGCACTGGCGTTTGCACAGCTAGGCACTTGCTACAGTCAGAAAGATTAGCACAGCAGAAGGGCAATATAAAAACATAACTACAAAGGGAGCAGTGCAGGTAGGAGGGAATTTCACAGGAAAGCAAATGCGCTCACTCATCCCTGAAGAGCTCAGCTTGCAGAAAAGACTCCACGATGAGGAATCTCCAACCAGAGATCCTTCCCTAGTGGCAATCAGCCTTAAATGGGGTCTGAGAGAGGTGCAGCCAGGCTCCACCCCTTCAGTCTCAGCTGAATTGCCTTCACCTGTGCTCCCAGGGCTGACGGATCCTTTCCCCAGGTGATCAATCAGTGGTTCAGGCCATGACTCTGTGGTTCCCATACAGCACTTCCCATCCCCTGAGCCGCTGTTCCCTTGGCTCCATCATCGCAGTCTCCTCCTCACCCAGTCAAAAAGCAAAACACACCAACCAAGTCAACGGAGCAAACCAGCTCACTGTGCTCTTCCATCAGTTGGCCAAGGCAGCTGCCAAACGGGCTGTGACGTCTCCTTGCCATCAGCACAAGGGGAGGGGAGATGAAAATGTTTCCGTGCTTGGATCATCGATTGTTCTAATTAAGCCCTAATGTCACTGCTCCACTGGAGGCCCTCCTGCCACTCCCTTGGTCCAGCAGCACCATTTTGTAGCAGCGTGAGGAGAAGGCAACAAAATGGGCCCTGTTTGAAATCATCTCAATCGACTCTTTTACATGCCCTGCATAAATTCCAGATGTTTACCATGTAATTAGCTGGGACTAAAAAGGGGTGGTTTACCAATGTCCGTATTTGATTTTCATTCATAAACTCTGCGCTCCTCTTAACCTTGCCCTCATACAGGTAAGCACCTGTATAAATACAGTAGGACATTTCAATTTGTGAATACACAGCCCGATTCACACATTGAAAAAAACCGTGTGAGGAATCTGATCCGAATGCCAAGCGTTAAAGCCTTAAAATTACATTTAAAAATGAAACCAAAAAGAGGAGGAACGGATTAAAAACCAGCAAAGGGAACGATGCGATCCGGCGGTCGCTGCGTCGTACCCGGATTTTCCAACACTGAGCTTCTGATTTTCTTTCTTTTCCCCAATCATTTCATTTACCGACGTACATCCAAGCTGCTAAAGTAGCCGGACTGATATATTGTAAATGTTAAGTGCTTTTTTAATGGCGTTTAAAATTAAGCTTCGGCATATGGAGTTCATACAGCGTGGACATGCCTGAGTTTATAATGTTCTTTCGTATAGCCCTCTAAAATAAATACAAAGAGCCAAAGTACTACTATAATATATACAGCCGGAATTCTTTCAGGATAACAAATGGGGACCCGCATCTGATGGGAGGTGTTGCTTAACTTGCGCGCCGCTCGCTATCTCGCGGTGGTAGCGTTGGGCTCAGCCGTCAGCAGCCGCCGCCACGTTTGCCAACTCCCCACATTCTTTTCCAGGAAAACACGGGGTAGGTTTTAGTAATTTGGCTGCTCGTGACCATTTCATCATTATTATTAGCTGCTGCGTTTTGGCCTTTAAAAAAAATATATATATATGCAACTAACGCGCCGTCCAGGGACTTGTCAGTTTAATTTTCTTAATGAAAACATATTTCTCAACCCCTTGGCAGGGGCTGGTTTAGTAAATACATCCTTGCAATGGGATACAAACACGGGCTGTGCGTTGCTGGTGGGGAGGCATGGCAAAGCGCAGCGCCGCGTCCAACTCAAAGCCGTCACAGAGCTTTGCTTAGGAATAAAAAGACGTGGAGCACCGAACCGTGTGGCTCCGTGCGGCTCCCGGCGCGCGCTGGGACACAGCCAGCATCTGCCTGCCCAATTCATGGCTCCGAGCAGGAACTCCCCTGTGGATGGGCGTTCTCGCAGAGGATGGGGCATGTTGGCCAACTTTCCCCGACAATAGCTCACTTGATCATTGAGAGTGGCCAAGAGCTCCACTGCGTGCTTTGCTGCACTCTATCCTGCCAAGATTGGTTATGAAAATGGTAAACTTGGGGTTTCTGGGGAGCTCGGTGGGTTTCTGCGCTGGGTATGCAGCAAAGGGCGAATCCAACATCAAGTAGAGCTTCAGCCATTGCCCGTCCACCTTCGGTTTGGATCCAAAGCCCTGGGAGGTAATGGCCCAGCATGCAGAAAGCCCCCAGCATATGTGAATGCCACCACTTTCCCAAAACGCTGAGTTTTTTCCCCTTTATGCCCTTTTTTTTGGAAGGACCAACACAGGCGTGACCTTGCACGAGCACCCAGCAAGAGCTGGGTTGGAAGACCCCAGTTTTGGACATGTCTAAATGCCTCTTCTCCCCACCCCCTACCCCTCCCAGTGCAGAAGGAGCCATGCAGAACACACCTCGAGGGGCTCCTGAACCCCCCTGTTGGACATCAGGACGGATGGGGACATTGCTGTGTCCCACAGGCAGGGCTCTGGCACAGCTCTGGTGCAGATGAAATGTACCAAAAACAGCAAAAGCCAGGAAAATAAACAAGCAGCATGATTCCAGAGCCCTCCCAAGCTTCAAAGATGATGTGCTGGTGAATTATTTGTTCTGATAATGAAGCAGTCACTGCTTAGCTAAGTTTATGCTAGGCACATTTTATCTCTATGTGATATTCACAAATTGTTTTAAAATGAACTGTTAGAATAAGCATCTCTTGTTTATTTATTTATTCTATTGCTACCCAATCCCCTCAGCCATGCAGCAGTTACTGACACGGAGCCAAGGCTCCTATTATGTTCAAACAAAATTTAATTAATGTGTAATTGGTTGGTTGGATTTGGATCAGAGCAATAAGAGGAAAGATTTGCTTTCATTATTTGGGGCAGCAATTCCCTTCAGGCTCACGGGCATCTGACCCATATCTCACTTCAGGTCGGTGTAAAGCACTGGGATGAGGGGACAGGGAACAGGGGATGGCAGCCCTGCAAAGCCAAGATCAAGGGCTGAGTCAGTGCCCTCTGAAGCACATGGGAACACAGGCACTGGAGCTCTCCCTGCGTCCTGTGCTGGCACTGATGCTGCCAAGGCTCCCTTCTCTTTGGGGTATAAATCTGCCAAAGTCCTTCAGCTGTTCAGAAGGTGAAGACTTGTTTCCAACAGCACTTCCAGCAGGATGAAGGTTTTCAAGGACAGGCGGTGATTTTGCAGTCCTTTGTTTTGGGGTGGGCAAGAAAAGTGCAGGGATTGAGTGCCCAGACATTTCAGCACAGCCCTATCTGGGAAGGGATCCCCATGGCACATTGGGGCGTGAAAAACAACCCGAAAAACAAAAAAATCACTCAACATCTCGGCCAATGTGCTGAAGGCTGCCTCCTCAGAAATGGGCAGAGATGCCTCCAGCCGTGCTCCCAAAGCACCAATGCAGACTGCACACATAAAACCCCTGGAACTTGGCCTAAAATTCCCCATCAGAATTGCTGCCTATGGATGTTACTGCTCGTCTTCATGGTTAGGAGAGAAAGGAGTGGTGCATGGAGGCCCCAGGAACCACGTTCTCATTCTGATGAACTTTCCTCTTTTTCCTAATTTCCCTTCTTCTGACAAATATTTCTTCCATTGACTTCACGCATCTTTAAAAATAATATTCTCCGGGGCAGATGAAAACAAATTTGGGGATGTCAGCTGTTTCTTTTAGGCTTTTAAATGGCATTTCCTTTTTGATAGATTCTTGCTTTCAGAAAATACTTTCAAGAGATCAAAGAGTTTTCCAACAGGGTCCCATTTTCCCAGTGTCTCCTAACCTCAGTCCCTTATTTCTCTTATCACCCACGCCACTCCGCTATGACGCTCTGTATACAAAGTAAGAGCAGTTAACTTTGAAGTGCTGGATTAGCCCATGCCAGATCCTTGCCTCAGAATAACAAACAATACAGGTTCAACAGGAGTTCTCATCAGTAGTTCATTTTTCAGCCCCAAATTCACTGTCACTAACACAAGCAACATTGAACTCTCAGTCTATGGGCAGATAGGAGAGATTTATCTGGTGGCAGGACCATGACCTAGTGATGAGGAGGTCAGACAGTTAAGGGATTTTTATATTTTGGGATGGCGAGGCTTTATTTTATTCTTTTTTTTTCCCCCTCTCTCTCTCTTTCTGGCATCCAATTTTTAAATAAAACATTGTTTCTCACGTACTTGAGGACTTGGTTAGCTGCAGGGCTGCGGCCGTGGCTGAGGAACATGTCCTCCCCTGCGTGGGTGCCGAGGTGGTGCTGGGACCTCCATCCCTGCTCCGTGCATGGCCAAACCCCGCAGCCAACCCAGGGAAGGCTTTGGGAACGGGCGTAGCTCTGAGCATCCCAAGGCTTCATGATCCCAACGGCGAGGATCACAGGATGAAAAACAAAATCCCATCCCTGCCCTGCCCGGCGTGCCAGAGCTCCGTCCCTTTGCCAAAGCTGTCGACATCGTTAGCAGCTCAGCCAACAGCACGGCAGTGATCTCCATTCCCCCCCAAGCAGGACTTTGCCCTAAGAGGGTAATTCCAGAACCCCAAATGTTGTGCTGAGCAGCTCAAACATTCCTGAAATATCCGCTTTATTTCCAAGTTTTAAGTTGATGGCGCACATTCCAGCGCTCAGCTCGGATATTAAGGTTTGCTTTCAGATCAAAAACCTTCAGGAGAGATTCTTGTAGCTGCCTCAGAAGGTTCTGGACAAAAGTTTCCCTTTATTGTAATGAGAACTGGGCATCCACATGCCCTACGGAGCCATGGAAAATGTAACTTTTAAGGGATTACTCGCAGAGGAAAGCTGCACCAGCTCAGCCAAAGCAGTTCTACTTCTTCAGACCTTGATGTCCTAAAAACTACTTTTATTTTGGTTTACTAAAGTTGATTAGGAACAGATTTTTTTTTTCTTTTTAAAACTAAAACGAGCCACTTTTAAAATGAAACCTGAACATCTGAAGGGGGGGGTGCATCTTTTCCACACATGCAAACCACTTTATTGAGTCCTTTTTTTTCCCTTTCTTTCTTTTTCTTTTTCCTGCACGGTATTTTCCTACACGTGCCCCTCAGAACCTGCTACCGTAGGGCTGAGGCTGTCCCTGTAACACCCCTAGAGCTCAGGGTCAGCACCTCCATCCCCATTCACTGCAGGGGAGTTGGATTGAGTGACCTTTTAGGGTTCCTTCCAACTCAAACGACTCTATGATCTCCTGCTCCCACCCCTGAGCAGGTGGTGCTGCTATAGAAGAACGACCTATTTTTCTTCTTGGTCAGCTGCTGTTTATGAGAGATTTGTCATAGGCTGCATCAAACTCTTTGTCCCTGGCAATATTTGGATAGAAACTGCAGAGCTACAGAAATTGGCACCTGGAAACCCCAGCGAACGGCCAAAGCTAAATGAAGGTTGGCAGAAAGCAGAGCCCCGAGTGCATACGGGAACATTCACTTCCTGCAAAAACAACGCTTGGAAGGCGAGATCGAGCACAGAATTAGGAGACACAGCGGGTTTTGCCGCGAGGTTAAAAAACAGCACCACCACCAACAGCAGCAATTGTTCAGTTAAATGAAGTCACATTGGGAAAGAGGAGTTAGAGCGAAGTACCCCATGTGTTCCCTGCCCTGAACAGCCGTACCAACACACCCGGAGCAGTCCCCTCACTGCCGAGCCCCTGCAAAGCCCCGCACCTAGCACTGTGCTGCTGCGAGGACCCCGCTGCTCCGCTGCACGCCGCAACCCCGCGTGTCCCCTTTAGCCCCTTCCAGCTCGATTTCGTTCGTTTGTCTGAACACAACAGCTTGGAAAACTCTTTTGCGGGAGGATTTGGGGATATTCGTACGCTATAGAAACAAAGGGAACGGCCGGTGAGTGCTCGCAGCAGCCGGGGCAGCGGCCGCCCCGTCGGGGTTGAGGGAAGCTGAGGGCGCGGGGCGGCCGCACGGCACGGCGCGGGGCAGCGGCAGCGGCCGCCCCGTCGGGGCTGGGATTGGGGATCCGACACGGCCGTTCCCGGCGCCCCCTCAACCCGCGGTTGCCCACGGAGCAGCGCGTTCATCCTCCAAAAAGCCGCACGAGAAAATTCTCCCGAGAGCGAATTCGTAATTAGGGCGAAGCTGCGGGGGGAAAACGGGGACGGAACGCTGAGATACGGAGCTCGGAGCTGCGGCCTGAGAGGTGCGGGGTTTTACGGCCGAAGGAGGCGCGGTTGGATGCAGAGTTCAGGGAACTTTGCTAACATAAACTTTTTATCTTTCGATGATCCTTTTAATATAAAATAATCTCTCTCCCTTTTTGTTTTTTTTTTTCCCTCCCTCCCACAATGAAGCAGCCGAACATTAAAAAGATAGCGAGCGCATTTTAAAGATGTTTCCACTTTATAAATCACGCTTTCTTGGCAACAACGCGATTCCTATTGCAGCGCTGAGCTCGCTGCGCTCTCCTAATGTCTCCTACAGATCAGCCCTGAGAGGGAGCAATAATCCCCCAAAGTAATTCTCAGCCCTAAATTCCCCATAATTTATAGTGGCCGCGTTCTGCGGAGCGCCGCAAAGAACGAAACCGATGACTGCCCCGCGGGCGCCCGCCCCCGCGCCGAGCGTTATCGATATTTGCCTTGTTTAGACAGAGAGCCCATTTTACACCGCGGCCGCGGAATTAGCGCTTCCGCTGAGCTTTGCATTTCCTCCCCACGGAGCGAACTTGTCACGAAAGTCACATTTTCTTTCCTTTTTCGAGGGCTTGAAACTTAAAAAACTGGGATTCGATCCCTTTTCGTTTGTGCCCTTGGGGCTGAGCAGCCCCACGACACGGGCTCCCATCCGCAGAGCATCTCAGTGTGTGCTGGGAGGGGATGCGGCCCCATCAATGCCTGCAATCCGCCGCTTTCCCTCCCCCCCCTCCCACCTCAGTGCTAAATACGAGTACACACAATTCTCCATCAACCCTCATTTTTTTTAATTGGGTCGAGGGGAGGTTTGTTATTGGCACTTTTTGTTATTAAACGGCTTGCGTGGAAAGAGGAACGAAACCTGCTGTAAATCTCGGTTTGCGTTTCGCCATTCGCAACTCGGGGCAGCTTTGATCCCGGTAGCGGCACCGGGGGGGTCCGCGGGACCGGACGGGGCCGAATGGGATGGGATGGGATGGGATGGGATGGGATGGGATGGGATGGGATGGGATGGGATGGGATGGGATGGGAAAGGAAGGGGCTGCGGGACTTGAGCTGCTCGGCCCGAGACGACAAAACCTTGCCCCGCGTTTTCAGACTGTTTTCAGTTGGATGCAGGGAGAAGAACTGAAATCCCCGTTTTGTTTCGGGGCATTCAGGGGATTTTATCACGAAAGAATTCTTTTGGTTTTGTTTCTTTTTGCCTTTTTTTTTTTTTTTTTTTTTTTTTTTTAATGTATCTATATTATTAATTTCTTGCTAATACTGCATCTATTCCTCTATTTATTTCACTGATCCGAATTTTAGAAGCCGCTCTGCTTGTCGCCCAGCAGCACGGTGCCCCATCACGCAGCTGCCATTTGCCGTGCGCCCCCCCGCTGCCCCATCTCTGGAGGAAGGTGTGTGAGCACTGCCAGCTTCTCCGGACAAAGAATGTGGGGCCGAGCCCTATCCATATGGATTTGTTTAAACAATCCACGTTAAGTCTTACAAAGAGATAACATGCACATTTGAGATGCTTAGGGTCTAGAATTTGGTAAAGATATTACACGTCCCGAGCAGACACGCTCAGATTCTATAAATTAAGGGTAAAATATTTGAGGTCTTGATCCCCTCCGTCTTGGCTGCTTCAAGTAGCGGCCCTATCAGAACGGATCCGGCTCTTCCCATCAGCGGAAGCCACAGAACGAGCCCTACGATTTCATACAACGTGATAAGGGCAGAGTTACCTGAGAGATCGCTTCGTATACAAAACAAAGAGCGACAGAAGGGAGCAGCTCCGGCCCGGCACCTCCTCCCGGGGACAGAGAGAAGCTCCGAACGCGGGCCGTGGGCTGGGGGGCAACGGGAGAAGGGAAACGTCCCCCCTACCCTCAACCCCAAGCCCCAGCTCTGCTCCCATAGAAGTTTCGACGAGTTGAAATGAATTAAACTCATTTTAACACCCAACTTCGGCAATGTTGGTTCTCTGCCGCTGCCCGGCACCTCGCAGCTTTGTTGGATAGAAAAGTATTTCGGTGCCGAATGCTCACAGCGGTTGCGTTCTGCTCGTGGGGAGGATCGGGGGGGGGGACGCTGTCTGTGCTTTGTGTCCCACTGCCATCCCCGCAGCGCTCCGAGCACGGACGGGCCCTGTGCACCCCCCTCCACCCCCCCGAGACTGCCTCGAGTGAAGCTGTTGTGATTCGGACCCAATTCGGACCCAATTCGCTTCTAAGGAAACACAGAATTTTGTTCCCTTGGATTTTGGACTGAGAAGCGTTAGCTCTCAGTCTTCCAGTTTCGAGCCTAAAAGCACACCCTAAACCTGCACACCATTTTGGTGCCAAAAAATCCCGCTGTGCAGAGTTGGGGGTGGGGAGGGAAATATCTAGAAGTGGAGCCGCAATTCAGGTAAAGTCCTTTAAAAAAAATTAATTGATAGGATAATTTGGAAAAATATAAAATAATAAGAAAAAAAAGAAGCAGCACCAAAGATAACGGGCATTAATCGCACCCAACGCTTCCCTGCAGCCACTCCTCGCTGCCGCCCCGCTCCAACACACGCAGTTTGCAGAGAGAAGACGATCGCCCTGAAATCCGCCCTGACGATGACCGTGTATTTCTGTTAATGGCACCGACTGCAGCATCGCAGCGGTGCTCCGTTCGCGGCTGAAGGATGGGGACATTTCGTACGGATCAGAAACAAAAGAGCCCGGGGATGCCCACTGACCTGCCTGCTTTGGTTATGATCATTTCGGTGCCCGCTTCATGGAACTTCTTCCATAGCTCCTTCTCGTGGAGATAGACTTTGATATTTTCTATCGTCTGCAAATTAAAATGAAATAAAATAAAGAGAATGAGAAATAGCAACGAACGGCCAGGGAGCGCCCTGGGAAGGGCCGTCCGACGGCACCGGAGCAACGGGGAGAGCTGCAGCGCAGGGCAGGAGAGGGTCCCGAAAATTCCACCTCCCTTTACCACAAATAAAAGCAACGAACGGAGCTCGCTTTGAATTGCAGAGCTTCACATCCAGGCCGGGCAATGCGGCCAAACGGACTTTTAAATTGTTTTGTTATTATTATTATTTTTCTTTAGGGCTTTCTGTGCCCAGGCGGCACAGGCGGACCCCGACGGTGCCCGAGGGTTCCCTGAAAGCGGGGCCTGGAATGGCCGTAGGGACGCGGCGAGGCCGCACGGCGCTGCTCGGCTGATTCCGCGGAACTGGGGCTGAGCAGCTGCGAAACGGCCCAGGTTTAGTTTTGTCAAAATAAAAGACCAAAAAAAAAAAGCAGCAACATCAAAACCGGTGCCGAAAGGCAACGCCGGGCCGGACACTGCTCGGGAAGTGTCCGTGCAGAATGACCGCACCGAGGGGCGCAGCGGCATGCTTGCAGGGGAAAAAATAAATAAACGAAGGGGAAAAAAAAAAATTATAATAATTGAAAATAGCGATTTCATCGCGATTCCTCGACCCACAGCCCGGAAAGATGCACGGCCGAGGGAAGCTCCGGCACCTCACCGGGAGCAGAAGCGGCTTTCCCGGCCCGGCAGGACACGACGGGCAGCAGTGCCCGTTTGCTCGACGGCGCGGTCCGTGCGTACCTGCTCGGGGTCGGGGAGCTGCGGGCTGCTGAGCGGAGTGCTGCTGCCCCCGGCTACGCCGAGGACGGGGGAGCCCGCGGAGGAGTCCGCATGGCCGGGTGCGGGGGCTGTTGGAAACCCTTCCTCGGTTTCAGACAGGCTTTTCTCCTGGAGCATTTCCTTAGGGGGTGAAGAGAGGTGCACCGTTAGCTCGCAGCACCGGGGGCTTCGTCCAGATCGAGCCCCCCGTCCCGGCCACGTCCACCGGCGGGGGTCGGGCCCCTAGGTGCTTCGTTAGGCGGCGGTCCCTCTGCCTGAGCTCGGCAGACTGGGACGTGACACCCCGGGCCCCGGGGGAAGCCGCTGTGCCCGGTAGAGCCTGGCCGAGCCGGGCCGGGCCCGCCTGCCCTCCCCGGGGGGCCTCCCACGCGTGGCCGTGCTCCAGCCCGAAGCCCGGGCAGCTCCGTTTAGATGTGACCGCAGTCTCCCCGCCCCGACCCTTCCTCACTTCTCCTCCCCTCTCCGCTTTTTGTCACCGTACGAGGCCGATACCCGCCGGGGAGAGCGGCTCGGCCCGGCCGCTCCTCTGTCCCTGTCCCGTCGGGGCTCCGCGACGGCGCTCGGTGCTGCAGGCAAAGCGCTGCGGCGGAGCCGGGCAGCGTAAACAGGCGGAGTGCAGGGCTTGAGATAAAAGGGCCCCTCTTAAACTTGGAAGGAGACTGGGAAAAGCCAATAAAGATAAGGCCTGACAGCTCCGCCGGGGCTGCCGCGCATCAAGCCCGACTTTTACTGCGCGGAGGGACGGACGGACGCGGGGAGCTGCGGGTTCCCAGCCTCTGCCGTGCTCGCCCCGACACCGGCTGACGTCCCCCGGAGCCGTAGCCCCGACGGAGCGCTCCGCTGCCGGCCCCACGCCTCCATATGAAGGGCTGAGTACCACGGAGCTCCAGCTCCAGCCTCAGCGGTGCTTCACAGGGCCGTGCAGGGGACACGCAGCGCGCTCGGATCTGCACGAGCTGTACCGTACGCAGCGGCTGCTCTGTGTGTACCCTCTGCCTGAGCTCTGCACCGCTTCCCTCGGACGGGGCGGCAGGAGCCGAGGCAGCAGCCGGGGACAGAGCCGGCGCAGGCCGCGGGGACAGAGGCCGGGCCCGGTGTGCTGCGGGACTGCCACCCGTGCGGGGCTGATCGGCACCGCGCTCCCTCCCTCCGTTCCCTGCCTCCCTCCCTCCGCCGAGCCCCGGACTCACACTGCCGGCCGGGGGGCAGCGGGCGCAGCGGGGGGCTCCTGGCTTCGCCTCGGGGCGGCTGCGGCATGAAGGGAGCGCGGGGCAGCGCGGGGCTGCGCGGGGCGCTCAGGCCGGGCGAGGCGCGGCGGCCCCCGATGGCAGCGGCGTGCGGGGCATCCCCCACTGCGCGGATTCACTTTCCCTTGATCTTCGCGAAAAATGTTCCATAAAGATCCAGTTTGGGGCCTTTCGACTCCCTCCCTCTTTGTCTCCCCCCTCCCTTTTCCCTTCCCCTCCTGTTGCTGACGTTGCCGCTGTCAATCACGTCCCCACAGAGCAGCTCCGGCCCGCTCCGCCGGGCCCGTTCCGCTCGCCCCGGCCCTGCTCCCGTCCGACGGCCCCGGCACAGAGCTCGGCACCGGTCCTGGGTACCGGGCACCGGCTCACGGCGCACCGTGCTCGGCCCGAGGCCTCTCCTGAGCTCTGCACGGGGCCTTCGGCGAGCGTGGCCGCCCGGGCTGCGTCTTGCTGCGAGGAGGCAGCGGGTAAGGAGGGTGCACCCACAGCCCCGCAGACCCCTCCAGACCCCGGCGGGCCCGGTGCTCCCTGTCTGCGAAGGGACGAGGGCCGGGGGCTGTACAACAGAATCTAGGGGTCGGGGGTCGGGTGTGAGACCTCTGGCCCTGCTGCACCACGAACCGTCCCTGCCACTCCGAGCGGGGAATTGGGACTGAATTTGGGTGCGGGTTTCCCCAGCTGACCCCCTGCTGTGGAGGGGCTGCACGGCCCGGGCCGCTCCTCCGGATATGCCCCGAGGTGAGTGCGGCTGTGGCATGGATGCTCTGCAGGTCCCACACAGCGCAGGGCTGGAGCCCCCACAGCCTCTGCCCGCAGCCTTCTCGTGGTTCCCACCGCCGGGAGAAACCCTGAGAGCAGAGACAGAGTCACCGAGGGCTGTCGTGACTCAATGGATCGCATCTCTCTGCTGTTGTGGTTACCAAAAGCAACCCCTCTCACCTCACACCCACCCGCAGCCAAAACGCGTAGCCATAGGGATGTGCTACCCCATATCGTGACAACCCACAGTGTTCCTATATCGCGATAGCCCCTCCGGAACTGGAGGCTGCTTACACAAACCAGGCTCAATGGGCCGCCGGGCCTTTCCGGGGCAGGAGTTTTATTTTTTATGGTTTTTTAAATTTTTTTTTTTTTTTTTCTTTGCCTAAAAGTGAATTTCAACCCAAACTCACTCCCACCGTCACGTGGTGCCAAAATTGGGAACAGGAGTGGAATAAAAAGTAAACTGGGGTCAACCTCTTAATGAACCTTTTCTCCACTCATATGGAAAAAGGAAAAAAAAAAAAAAAAGAGAGAGAATGAAAGAAAGAAAAAGAGAGAGAGAGAGAGAGAGAAAGGGGGAAAAAAAAAGAAAAAGAAGAAAAAAAAAGTAGAAAGAAAGACCGACCAGGGCCGGGCAGAGAGGGCCGGGCAGGCGGGGCAGCGGCGCGGAGCTGACGGCAGGTGAGATCGAGCCCCGACGTGAGCCCGGGGGGTCGGGCGAGGGGTACCGGACCTCGGAGCCGGGCTCGTGGCTCTGCCCGTGGCTCTGCTCGGGGTCAGCGGCTGCGCGGTGATGTGATTTCGGTGTCGGCTGTGTGCTGGTGCTCGGCTTTGTTTGGGTTTTGCCTCCCTCCACCCCTTCCTCCCGCAGCTGCAATCACGGGCGTTTCCTCCTCTTTCCTACGTTCAGCGCTGTTTTTGTCTCTCAAGCAAAAACGGCTGGGGGGAGGAAGGGGGGGCGATCCCGAGTGGGGACTATTTGATTACAACAAAGCCGAAGTCTCCCCCTCCTCCCCTCCAGCCCCGGCCCTCCCCGTCTGTAGAAGCGGGGCCGCTTCGGGCCTTTCTCGGGCCGGGGCCGTCCGTGCCCGTCCACCTGCGCACAGCGCTCAGAGCTCTGCTGTTCTCCGACCGCACGTCGGGGCCGGGGCCGTCGGGGCTGGGAGAGGCCGCGGCCGCTCCCACCACCTCAGCGTCCCCGTATCCGCGGTGCTTCCAAGAGGCTCCGGCAATCCACGGCGAGGCTCCAACACACCCCGACTGTCATCACCCGGCAGATAAACGGCCGGATCCCCGACGGCAGGGTGGCTTCTATTCGTGGCTCATCATCGCCGAGTCCAGGGAGCAGGCAAAGGGGGAGGATAAGCCCTGCTTCCAGGGACCGGCTCTCCACACCACTCATCACTGTCACCGAGCTCATGCCTTGGCCCTGAACACCGGCGATTAATAAAAGCTCACTGTCGCTTTTTCTCTAATAATTACAATCGCGGCCAGGGGAAAAAAAAAAAAAAAAAAAAAAAAAAGAAAAAAAAAACCAACAAAACAAAACCTGAAAGGGATGCGGCTGCGCGCTACCTGCGGGGATGCCCCGCCGCGCAGCCCTTGCCGATGCGGCTCTCTTTTATTGTTTCTTTTTACCCTCAAATCCTATGAGCCTTGCGGAGCTACCAGCCCCGACGGCCGCCCCGACGGGGGGTGGGGAGCCGCGGCCGTGCGCTTTGGCACGGAGCTGTGGGCTGCAGCGGGAACGCAGCGGTTCGCACCGCTGCTGTGGGTTTGAGTGGCCGAGGGCTGAGAAAAAGTGGCAGGATTTGGCCAGTGAAAACGCGGCGAGTACGGAGAGCAACCGCTGAGTTCTGTTCTCGGGAGGAATTACAGAGCGCCAGAGTCGGGCTTCTCAACAGGGCCAGCGCCAAATTTCTAATAACTGTGTAATACGTTTATTTCTGCCATACAAGGACTTACAGACCTCGCTGCGAGCTGCTGGCTCACGTTGCTTTCCCCCCTCCATCCCTCAGGCTCCGATGCCACGGGCCGGGCATCGCGCTCCGGGCCGAAAGGGAAACCCGAAATCGGAACGGACAGAACCGACGGCAGAAAGCGGGGTAAGCAGCAGCCCTTCCATCTCCAGCATCTGCCTGAAAGAGGTGCGATGAGAGCGGACCGAAGGCTGAGCGGCTCTAAATGCGATGCTTTTGCACCGCAGAACCGTCCGATGGAGTTGTTTTGTGTGCGCCCGCAGCTCCAGCGCTTTGTTACGGACCATCGAGTCGATGTTTTAACGAATGCTAAAGGACACGGCGGAGCGCTGCGGTCCTCCGTCCTGCCCCGATGGCTGCGGGCGGTGGGGCAGCGAGAGGAGCAGCCACGTGTGCTTTGCTTTAAATCTTTGGGGGATGTTTGATAGCTCCATCGCGCCGAGCTCTCTCACCCCCCTTCGGAATCTCAGTTCGTTGTGCGACCGCTGAGATTAAACGGCGAACGAGCACTCATCTGCTCGGAATGTTTGTGAGGGTTTAATTATTTCACAAACGAAAAGAAACAATCGCAGAATCCTTGCAGTTTTTAAACCGAGCCCGGGTTGTGTCGTGATGCTCGGATTTATGCTTTCAGATTTTTACTCTTTAAAGCAGCGTTTAGAGAAAATATCACTTCCAATCCGTTGTGCATTTTTTTCTTGGTGTGTGTGGGTACGAAAATAAAAGTCTCTGCTATGAGTGTGGGGATGGTGTAGGAAGGAGTGGTGCAGGGATCGGTGCCTGGAGAGCATTGCATGGAGGCTGCCCTGCTGGTTCCCAGCCCGAGCTCTGATTTCACTGCAAAATGTACCCCCAAAATGGTCCTTTCTGCTTTGCAACCGCTTTTCTTTTTTATTTTAAAATAGAAAACAAACAAACAAACAAAAAATCTTTCGAGCTATTCCGTGCTGGAGCGTGGGAGTGGGCCAACAGGGCACAACACAAAGCTGGCTTTGGGAAATGAAAGCAGCGCAGAGCCCCGAGCCCGGTGCTGGAGGAATTTGAGGCAGCACGGCTTTGTTCTGCTCTGTGCAGTGCAGCACAGGGCTGAATGAGCCCGGAGCTTTGGGACAGCAACGTGAAGGCACCGCTCACTAAGCAAGAGGAGAGGGGACCTTCATCCCAAAGCCCTGCACAGGAGCCTTGCGGTGCTGTGGGAGCCCTGTGAGCATCACCATGCTGGGATGGAGGGCTCAGAATGAGTCCTGCCCGTAGAGATTGTTGTATTTTTCCTATGGAGGTCCTTTTTGCTACGGGCAATCCCTGCCCTGTAGGGTGAGCAGAGATTGTGTGAGCCATGCCCACTGCTGTGCACACCCTGGCACTGAGCAAGGACGCATGGTGAGCCCCAGCACTGCTCTGCAGCACCGCCTGAAACCCTGGGGGTCAGCTGGCCACATTTAAATGATGCACTCACCACAGCATGGGCCAAGTCTCAGTGCCCACAGGCAGAGCAGGGCAGTGCCTGGGCAGCACAACCACACTGCAGGAGCAATTCTCCCACTGCTCACCTTCACATCCCACTGCTCTTTAGGCAAAAGCATCCTCAGCCATCCTCATACCCACCACCTCCATGCGAGGCCTCACTCCTGGCCAGAGCTCTTTTCAGCCTTTTGCACCATGGTGCTGCCCATGGGGAAACCTCCTCCTCTGCCTCCTCCTCCTCTCTGGAGCAGGGCCAGACGCTGCCAGCAGCCCTGGGTATGGGAGGGACATCCCAACAATACGACTCACACTGAGCCAAACTGGGAGTATGGACAGTGGTCAGTGCTGCCCCTATTCCTCTCTACGTCGCCCCAGGGCAAATCTAAACTTGCTGGAGCTCAGGCATTGGGAATGGAGGAGGGGAGAGGGAAAAGCAGTGCCCAGAGATGGAGCAAGAGGTACCAGAGATGCAATGGAGGAAAGCAAGATGAGAGGAGGAGGACTGGGAAGGAAGGCAGCAGGATGGGGGCTGCGGGGAAAGGCTTTGGGGGCAGCTTTGGGTTTCTGCCCCATGGCACTGGGATGTGATTTCCTCCCGGGCTTCTTGCACCAGGTTCAATCCCAGTCCCCACATGGCTGTGGCCCTGCACTGTGCCCCTCTGCTGCAGCAGCACTAGATCAATTCTCATCTCCATGTTGGGCACTTTGCTCCTCAGCCCTGGGAGAGGGCAATGCCTGGGGTGCTTCTGCCACAGAAAGCAGGGAGAGCTGTTAAAGCCATCGTCC